GGGGGCATTTCACTGTCTACTCTCATCACTGTACTTTGAAGTGGATCAAGACTCAGCCTAAGCTCTCCGACAAGTTAGTAAGGTGGTCCGCTTTCCTTGACACATTTGACTTTGAGGTGAAAACCATTAAAGGTAAGTCTAACGTGGTTGCGGATGCTTTGTCTAGGCGTGCATATTTCTTTGGAACCATTGTCCAGGCGTGCATGTTTCTTGAGATCCGAAATGAACTAAAAGAATAGATCCGCCAGGGTTATAGGAATAATCCTATTTGGGGTCCTATGGTTGAGACTTTACGAAAGAACCAGAGTTTTTTTCGGAATATCGAATGACTGATGGCTTACTCTTCTTGTCGGATAAAACCGAAGAAAGATTGTGTGTACCTAACCTAAAATCAATCAAGAGTCTAATCATTGGGGAATGTCATGATGCGGAAGGTCACTTTCGTTTTAAAAAGACGTATGTCGATGTACGTGAACGTTTTGAATGGAAAGGAATAAAGGAAGATGTACTAACGAATGTGCGGACTTGTCTTGTCTGGCAAAGGAACAAACCCTCACATGAGAGTCCGATGGGACTATTGAGACCGCTGCCAACTCCAAGTGAGTCAGGTGAGTCTATTTCAATTGACTTTACGAGTCTCATTAAGAGTCGAAACGGCAACGGCCAGGTAATGGTCATCGTCGATAGATTCTCCAAGTATGCTATATTCATTTCTTTCCCTGCTGAAGCTAGAACAGAACTAGTCATTCAAAAGTTTCAACTGCGATGGGTCTCTGAATATGGATTTCCCAAAACCATCGCATCAGACTGAGATGTTCGGTTCACCAATCTACAATGGCAGAAGTTGATGCAAGTCTATGGGACCAGGTTGACCATGTTGTCAGGCCGACATTCTGAAACGAATGGCCAAACTGAGCAAATTCATCGTCTCTGCCAACAACTTTTGCGAATGTATGTCCGTCCTGACCAAATTGATAGTGCTTATAATAACAATATACATATTGTCACAGATAGAACGCCTAACACACTGCATAACGGATGGAAGCCTAGGCGTCCCATTGATGCACTAACCAGGGACCAAATTCAAACGCTACCCCCAGGTACGCATGAATTTGCAGTTTTGAATTAAAAAAAAAACATCAAGTAGGTGAAGGAAAACATACAGAAATCCCAACTGCAAATGATAGAACAAGATAATAAACATCGTCGTCCTTCACAGTTCCAAGAAGGGGACTTTGTTTGGGTTAAGTCAAAAGAGTTTTCCTTAGAAGAAAATGAGTCTCATAAACTGCTACCTGTCTACTACGGACCCTGGGAAGTTCTCAAAGTGCCTGGAGGTGAAAATGGACCTTCTTATCGTATAGATGTACCTCCACATCTAAGGACATACCCTATATTTCATACGTCTAAACTGCTACCCTACGTAGAAAGTGACAACTTTCCCAATAGACCATCTCCATTTCCACCCTCGATGAATGGCAACTATGAAGTTGAAAGGATATTGGAACATGGCTATTTTTCTACAGGTGGCAAAGGACGACCTCAGAACCAGTACAAGGTAAAGTTCAATTCCCAACCTCCATCTGAAGTCAGATGGTTTAGTAGGAAAGAACTCCTACCTACTGCTCCTGACATTGTTGCTGCTTATGAACGTGGGTTAAGTGAAGATTGATATATTTCTGCAATGGAACTTGAAATTTGGGCCGGCAGGAATGCAATAACCCGTGTAGTAAGCCTCGTGGAATCTGAAGGCCTCGCCAGGCCAAAATGGGGGAAAAGACCCCAACAAAGATTCAGGGCCTGGACGAGGAACAGTTGACAAAAAGTCAACTGCCGGAAACCCCAACAGTCGAAGTCAAGTGTACCCAGCCCAGGCCGTCGGTCGAACACGCACAATTGTTTGTATGCAGGTACCCAAACAGCATCAGGTCCAAGGGGGAAAATCTGCAACTGTACAATTCAGGCCTTCGGCTGTGAAGCAATCTGGACGACTGAGGGGAGGGGACCCTAGGCCAAAGAGTCTCGTCGAACGCTACGTAAAGATTGGCCTCGAGGTGGTCAACATTCGGTCTTGCTATGCTGCTTTGACGCTGGCTCGACTTTGACTAGACGTTGGCTTTATGCTGGCAAACATGGCTATGTCGCTCGTAAACGACGTCGAAGTATACTTTGTCAAAGAGCTGGTTCAAGGGGAGCTCATTCAATATTATTTCGTAATGCTCAGCAACAAAATATGAAAGCTATGATATATTCTCATCAAAAAACGGAAGAGAGATTTTTGATCTTTATGGGTCACAGAAATAAATGCTGCAGTACGAGAACAGGATTTGTCCTATAATAAGTTGGTGCGACGCTGGCTACATGCTGGCTGTGCACAGGCGTTGCGGACGACGGCACGAGGTGGAGGCAGCATGCTGGCATTTCTTCTGTGCGCCAGGCATGATGATGTGGCACTGCCTCTGGTCTACCAGGCATGCTGATGTGGCGCTGCATCTGGTCTACATGGCATGCTAATGTGGCGCTGCCTCTGGACTACATTGCATGCTGATGTGGCGCTGCCTATGGACTACATTGCATGCTGATGTGGTGCTGCCACTGATCTACATTGCATGCTGATGTGGCGCTGCCTCTGGTCTACATTGCATCCGGATGTGGCACTGCCTATGGTCTTCAGTGGCGCTGCCTCTGGTCTACATTGCATGCTGATGCGGCGCTGCCACTGGCCTACACTGCATGCTGATGTGGCGCATGCCACCTGTCTCGACTGCTGACCTGGCATTGTCCACGCTGTCTACATGAGGTGACTGGTTGCGAGGAGGAAGATCGGGATCTGTGGATGAAGGAGATCGGGTACTCACCTGAGGATTGACGTTGTCACTGGAATCTGCTGTGTCTTCATGGTCTTCACGGAGTAGGAGTGCCACGTGGCACTATTGTGTGTGAACAGGAACATACTTGTTATCATTGTTGACGTGGAGATGGAAGAAGCCCGGAGAAGGAGAGGGGTCTGAAGGGATTATTACTGTGTAATCTTTCATCTTCTCCTTTGTCTATTCCCCCTCCACTCTCTTATTGTGATGGTAATGAGATACTGTTTGAGATATCACTTCACGATTTGGAGACTTTGATGCAGATAATGAGACAACTGATGTTTGACGTTTTCTGAGTATCTGCCAGACTGGGTTCATTACATCATACTGGTTCCTTGTTTTTTTCTTTAGGCTAATAGGCTTGTATAAGATTCCGGTGACTTCCATCTCATATACGTATTGATATATCATATATCCTATTGTATTACATTGTATTACCTTTATATACACAAATTAGATCGGGGTTAAGCAAGGGTGAGGGAGAGTCAGCGCGCCCAGGGAAAGGCATGGAAGGACGGGGGTTGAAGTGGTTGGCAGTCATAGGTGCCTGAAGAGGAATGTTCCACGTGGTCGCATCTGAGTGGGCTTCTCAATGGAGAGCAATATCATTCCAGCACCGATTTTTTCTCCCCCTGCTAGGCTGACCTTTCAGAGGTCTGCAGTAATGTTTGGTGTGACCGGAAGACGAGGAAGGTAGTTGCAGCCAGGAGGGAGGAAAAGAGCTGGCTGCCAGGGTGCCATAGCTGGCTTCGCCGATGTGGCAAAGGAGGAGAATAGCCCGAAGTTGAAGTGGGGAGGAGGGATCTTCAACTCTTGCTTTGTATTTGTTTTTTGATAAAGTAATCAATCTTTGGGTTCAACGTCATTGCCAGCTGTCATTGAGATCACTTTACCATTTGCTGTTTTGCTACTGTGGTTGCTTGCCGGTTTCGGCATTTAATCGAAAGTGCTGATTGAATGCAAGGTTCTGAAGTCGTGCTCACGGTGTTGGATTCAGGTGAGTTGGCACCGGAGTGGTACACCCTCATCGGGGTCAGTGAAAGGGTTTTCACCTTTGCAGTAACAGATGCAGATCCCAGGGCTGGATCCCTAGACCTTACCTCACCCGTGTACAGTATGAAGTCGACCCTTGTGTGTTTTGAACCCGTGACCTGTGCTTTGATAGTTGACTGTTGTCTGTCATAGGTCTGTGTAGGTATCGGGTCTTGAACCGTAGGTCTGTCGAGTAGGGGTCATAGCTGTGTAGAGGTCATAGCTGTTGCAACTCTGAAAGGTCAAGATCGTAACTGCTACAGCTCCGAAAGACCAAGTCCACAGACTTCCTAAAGGTCCGGAAGTGGCCTTTCGAGTGTTGCTCACGTTAGGCCTTGCTCACGTTAGGCCAGAGGCAAGTGGGTAAGTGGGTAGTCCAACTTTGCTTAGTCAGCGGTACCCAGTCCCATTCTCACTTTGTCCAGTCAGCAAGTATCATGTGGGACTGTGTGCACCATGGGCCGGTGGAAAAGGGGCAGACCAGTGACCAACAGAAGTATAAATCAAGAGGCAGCGTCCAGCCATTCATTCATTTCTGCGTGAGCCATGCGGAAGCGCTGCCCAGGCGTCTTGTGCGAGGTGGTCTGCAGATGCCCGAAGTTGAAGTGGGCCGAGGAAGAGACAGAGCAGCCATCGCTGCTTGTAGGGAGTGGTGGCCGGCGTCCATAGCTGCCATAGCTAGTGATAGGTGGTCGTGAGAGTGTGTGGATGTGTGTGCGATACAGAGTGTGTGTGCATCGGATATCCAGGGCGATCTAGCGCGGAGTGCATGTGAAAAGTTGTGTGAATACAGTGTCGGTGGTGAGAGGTGTAGGCGCTCAGGCGCCATAGCCAGTTTGAAGAGAGTTTGCATCTGAAAGGTGTTCGCAGCCTTAATATCTCTGAGCTTTGTGTGGGCGCCTGGCGCCAGTGTTGATTTGCCATCTGTTTGTATGCATGCGACGTGAGAAGAAAACGAGTCTGATTGCATCAGCCATGCACTAAATGGATTCCGGGAATTTTTATGGGAGTTCTTGGGTGAAAGGACCATTAGAGTACAGGTGAGTTGTGATGCACTGATAGGAACTCAGTGACAGATAGATAATAGATAGTACTTACAGGTTGATCAGTTTCGACTCGAAAAGTAGTCATAGCGTAGCCAACAACCCCTCCTGCCGGACCTGACAAAATTGCCTGCATTCGAAGAGCACAACTGTTTACAACAGTATACTATTATTTCACCGAATTCTCAGATGTTTGATGAGCCTTTTCTTCTTTTGATGAACGTTTGTGAAAGTTGACAAGCTCTTCAAGTTTTATGTTGAACACACATGATTGTGTAAGCAGACCATACATCAAGGTGCTGCCAAACATCCGAGCCCAGATGGGTGCAACAGCCACTTCAACAGTTCTTAGTGATCCCATAACATTCAAGCTCAGATGGGTGCAATAGCCACTTCCACAGTTCTCAATACTCCTTACCGACGACAAAGAAAGCTGCGGCATCACGCGGTCTTTCCATCCGCAAGAAGTTCAATGAAGCCTCATAGCTATGGCTTATCAGCAAAACAGATTCCAATGCAGGCACACAGGAATCTGCACATGCCACATGCCCATGCCTCAACTTGTTCAGTCTAAGGCCGTACAGGATCTATGTGGTATGTATTGTCATTAGGGTCTGGATTGCACAAGTCTCTGCCACAAATCTTTTACGTTTAGCGCTGATGTATCTTTAAGAATGCCCAATACTACCAGTGTTAGTGGTGCTGATAAGAGCAGACGCCACTAACACCTGGGGAGAGGCTCCATCTATTGGTGGGGAGCATCACCTGCTGGAAAGCGGGTCCAGTGTCCCTTATACAACTGAAATTGAAGCACAGAAGAAAAATTATGGTGGGGTGTTCCTGCCTGCATTGATTGACCTGGGTCCAGGGGATTGACTGGGCAGGATGTTAGAAGGAAGGGGGAACCTCTTCACCCTGAACCCGGCACCAGATACTTGCTTACTGCCTACTCTCCGGTAAATTTAGAAGATAATATGATATATTAAATTTAGCCATCGAGTTAGCAGGGACAACTGGTCCCACTACTGTCTTCACCTCAATAGAACGGCCGATCATTATAGCCATATTTGGGGCAACTTTCAGTCTACATACAGCGATAATGACCGGGCATTCTATTCGGGTGAAGACGGTAGTCAGAAAGCTGGCTCTTTGGAACATCTACAAACGCAGATGCACACAGATGATTGCAAAGGCAGTGGTGGCAGGGGAAGAGGCATCGGCCCTGTTGATCAGAATGGTGGAAACCAAAATTCAATGCAGGTAGCACACGGTGAAACTATCAACTATGCTCAGGCCCTAGGAGTTTGAAGCCAAGAAAAGAGCCTTCCATAGGGATTTGGCTGACTTAAGGCTGCGTGCATTGTGAACGACACTTTAAGGTGGAAGAATTGGCACTCCACAGGTCGTCAACCAATGGCCCACAGTTTGGCTCACATGTCACTCGACCGCGCACCCAGCTAGCCCTTCAAAAGCAACAGAATTTGGATCACATATCACTCAACTACACACCCAGCTAGTGCAATCGGTGAACTCAAATCCCACCAGGACTCACTCCAATTCAGTTACTTACTTCAATAATGCTATCGCCAAACACAGAGAACTGAAGTCTTTTTTCTTTTTTCTCAATGTAGTAACGCAGCTACTAACACAGGTATACGCTCTGGATTTTTGGTTTGACATCCAGCCTTGAGTGATAACTAATCATATGTGATTGCCCATATCAACTATTGACGCACTAACCGTGAGTCTCAGCAGTTCGGGTCAGAGAGTGCCAAATGTTTTCACGTTCTGCTGGAAGGAAGAGTGCATGTACAACCAAATAGAAAGCAGCCGTTAAATACTAAATAGTGTCAACCAGAACTCGACCTGCAGTTTCAGAGGGCCAATGAAAAGCTGCTTTCGAATAGGGGGCCCAATGCATAATGTTGGGGTGGGGGGGGGAGGGAAAGTGTGCACATACAACTGTCTCAGGTTGTGATCATGTGTCAATCTTGCATGTTATGCCCTTGAGTCTCCCATATAATGTTTGCATTTTGTCTAAGTTTGTCATGCATTCACGCACTTGGGTGAGAGTCACTGAATGGCATAATATACACATCCACCAAACTTAACCTTGAATCCTGTGAAACGGGACGCAGGGGTAAGCCCTCCATCTGATTGCATGAAGGAAATGTTCACATTCTCCAGTCCGCCGCCAAATCCTGACAACAAGAGTCAACAAAAGAAGAAGTCACACACACCAGCATTATCATCACGTCATGACATTCAGTCAAGATACCTGTGCCCTTCCTTTTCGTCTTTTTTTATTTTTAAAGAAAAAACTTTGGAGGTAGCATCACAGCCCGCAGTTGCTCAAAGTAACGTTTTAGTAGCATTTTACATCACTGGTTTCTTCTAGGTCACTAGGGGCAGCTGGCTGGACTGCGTGCTCCAGGTGGTGGGGGAGGGTCCGCCCGTCAATCTGCGCAGGCTGGAAAGTGCCCGAAAATTTTGTTGTTTTTCTTTTCTGATTGGAGTCTGTGAATGTGCTTGTCAAGAGCATGCAGAATTGCCTTCCTCTGAAAACTTGGAACTCAGAGTTGAGGGGGTGGGGTCAGGGGTGAGGAAAAGGATCCAAATGGGTTTTGGAGGGGGTTGGGCTGTATATTGACATCGTTTTCTTTTTTTTTTTTTTTTTTTTAATCTCGAAAATAAGGAAGCATTCGGAGATGCCACTCAGCCAAAAGTTGTTTCTACTACCATTTTACACAACAGATGTTTTCTTTGGATGTTTTCAAGTTCCTTTTCTTTCGATCTTTTTACCTTGGTTACCAGCCGGGCCGCCCGGGTCCCGGGTGGCCAGCCCGTGCAATGACCAGGGAAGGTCCTAGCAAAAAAAAAAAAAAAAAAAATCCAAAACATCCGAAAAAAAACTATGTTATGCAGAAAAATAAAAAGAACAACTTTTGCCTCAGGGTCACATCGAAATTCCTCACCAAATTTAGAATTTTTTTTATTTTTATTTTTTTCGGTAATTCTTTTCGGCCCGGCCGGGCAAGTGACCCTGGGGCACTCTGGTAGCCTAGCTTTTTACATGATTTTGAGCTGGGACTGCCCGGCACCTTGCCCGGCAGGACCCACCCAGGTGGAATATGGAGTCCCGCAGTCTCCCAGATACTAACATATTTCAAAAATGTTTTTGCACATTTATTATTTCCGATTTTCTTTAAAATGTTTTTGCATATTTTTGGTGCATCGACACGTCATATGCATTGCAGCACGGGGCCGCACGTATGCAATTGCATGCACAGCATGCGCAGGCACGTAGGTTTCCGTACATTGTACCATCATTGCTTCGTGTATACCATGCTACAAGAGTAATGCAACAGTACAAGTAAAGTCCTCACACAGACAAGCTTACCTGCAAGGAAGTTCGCCGTGTTTTCCCGGATGCCTGGTGTAAGATATGCATCAACAGATGCAGTGAGGCCACGTGGAACCATCTTTACCATTGGGATAAGAGCTGCAGATGCGGAGACTTGTTTAAAGCCCATCTGAATTGCCAAATCCTTAACTGCCTGCACAGGTACGCCACCTCTTGTCAACATGCAAAACCACCACAAAACTTTAAAGTGCAACTGCAATCCATTAACATTTAAAATTTTAAAACTGTTGAAACGCATTAAGAACAAACAATCTTGCTGGCTCTGAAGCTCGATTTTTTTTTTTTTTTGAAAAGGCTAATTCTTTAAGCCCAACCAATTCAATTACCTGTCAAATCTGGACAGGACGGCCTTTCAGGCCTTTTTTTTATTGTCATTATAGTATTACGGGGAACCCCGTAGCAGCCACATCCGTGCTCAAGCCTCCAACGAGGGAACATGCGGGAGCTGCACCCACCAGTAGGTGCGATACTTGSTACAGCAGGTGGGCGATACCGGCCAGGGGTCAGCCGGTAGCATCAGGACCGAGCTTCTTCGATGGGCCAGTCATTGTGCCTCCCCTCCGGTCCCCTCCCCCTATGAACATCAGCAGTCTCTGCTCAATGCCACTCGGGGGGACCAACGGCATACATCAACCTACACATCGGCCATTTAAATTTATTTATTAAATTATTTAGTTATTTACTAGGCTGGTCCCTGGGCCGCCTGGCGGCCTGGTCGTCACCCGGGGGGGGTGCCGGGCCGCCTGGCCGGTTGTCGCGCCCGGTTCGCCACCGGGCACCCCCAGCGCATCAGTGTAGGTTATTTTTTATTTATTTTTTTCGGCGCTGGGAGCCTTTTCGCCCTCATGGCAGACTATGCAGACCACGAAGAAAAAAAAAGGGGGCCGGCAGGCCCGATTTCACCGATTCGAAATCGGGCCCGATCTGGATCGTCGATCTCAAAGATCGACGGCCCAGATGGCCGCAATTTCAAATCGCTGGGGTGGGAACTACCGGCTTCCGTTCCCTCCCCCATTCTCACGTTGTACCCCCTAGGTCCCCCCTTTCCCTGCCATGCAGTTGTGTCGCTCATCCTAGACTTCGACGCGGAACTTCGACGAGCCCCGCCAGCACCTGCCAACACCCGCCACTGCACGTGACC